TCCATATAAGACGCTTAGACATATATATACGCACACTTTCTTATCGCGAGACTCGAAGAGACGTCCAAAGCAGGATCCTTGGCCGACGGTTTATTCGAATACCTGTATTATAGCTATACGCTGTTTACGCTACGTCTGCGCGCTCCCGAGTAAGGAAGAAGGGATGTCGGGGTTCGACGCACCAAAGAAAAAAAATTCTATATCTATATATATTACTGGACAGATTTGTATTATATCGGCTGTATTTACTTTTCCGAGCCACGGCCCGTTATGTATAGTATTATCGGCCGAGAAAGTATATTAAATCGCGCAAGGCCTGCAGACTTTTTATGCATTCTTTTTCCTTCCGGCTGGAGAAGCTTTTTACATGTTTCGGGCAGAGCGCGCACTTGGCCGTGTAAAAACATTTCAGCGGCCTTTTTTTTGTTTACGCGATGCTACGTTCCGGGCATCTGTCAGGATCCAGGGATGGACCTGTCTCGGACACTGACAAATTTCCAGACTTACGTACGTTGATCTTCGCTCCCGCGACCGAATACAATCTATACGTCTCTCTGATAATTTTTCCATCCTCGTATACGTGTATAAGCATCCGAGAAGTCTAACGAAGCGTAAGCACCAGCACCACGCGCCCGAGACGAGAGAATAGAAACGAGCTTTGGTATTCAGCTAGCGTACGCGTGGCAAACGCAGCAAAAAGCGATACGTGATAATGCGCGGCGCGTTATCACTTATACATACAGAAGCGTGAATGGATCTCGCGAATAATTATATCTCGTATGTGCGTGTGCGTATGTGAAAAAGTTCCGAGCTTGCGTCTTTGGCGCAAAAAGCTGCCTGGAAATCCAGCGCCAAATAGAAGAGTATAATATATAATATAGAGACACAACGCGAGAGCGAGAGAATGAGTCAGAGAGAGAGAGTATTCAATTGAGACGTGTCCAAGACGTACGAGCACAGCCCACGCCGCGTCGACGCTATGACATTCTCATCATCGGTGCGCTATGACTTTTCTTTTATTCATTGTGCCGCGCCCGCACACACTATACCCAATGCGATATTATTCGAGTAGGCTTGCGTATATCAGTGTATAGATATACACGGAATGTATACGCAGCGATCGGATATGCTTCCCTAAATAAGCATCCCACACGCAGCTGTATTCGCCTGGTGCTGGTAAGGCGCTGCGAGCGATAAGAGACGTACATTATTTTATGTATCGCCTGCAGTCGAGGCGTCCTGACGCGCGGTGTGCGACACGACCTCGCAATCGCTTTATTAATGATTTTTCGTGTCGTAAGTCGAACCGATACAACGCGGCGACTTTGCGAATACACAACGCGTGTGAAGATGAAAACGTTCGTGCGTCATTTTTCACGCACATACAACTAGCGTTGTATATATAAATTTAGGATGTGTACTACATACGGAGGGTTATTGAGGATTATTTTCTTGATATAATAATATTGAAAAACTCATGCTGATATAGAGTGTAGAAAAAACGCTGTATGCTGAACGTTGTAGATAAATGCTTGTCCATGCACTGGAGTTTTAAATAGAAGTATGTTTCCTCCAATGAGGAGACCGTACTTGAACTTATACAATTATTTTCATTTTACCACTTGCAGATTTGCAGGTTAAGGTAGTCGCCATCTAGTGGCTGACTTTGAATACGATTTAATTTTCATATATTTTTGCATTTAAACTCAAAAACTAAATTAGTGTTAAAACTAGTAATTTACTGCCCTAGGTCGCAATAAACATAGAAAAGTTCCAGGGCACGTGTAATAAATAGGTATAATCTGGAGCTTTTTTTTCGCTGCTCAGGCTTGTGCACTATTTTTCCTATCAAGTAACTCCAAAATAACTTTCCGCATTTGCATAGCGGCTGGAAAATAGTCGTCGTTTATACTTTACATGTTGAATATTTTCTTTTTTTTCACGAAAAAGTGTTTTATTTGTCGAAATACTTTTACTCCTACTCCTTGCCCATACATATGCACGAGAGGAGCTTCACTCGTGACACTTGCGTCGGCTATATACGATAAGTCTGCAAGCTGGGTTCGTAATAAAAAAATGCTTACGCCAAAAATATGAAGCAAGACAAATGACCGAGTCTTGCCCTTTTCTTGTCGATTCGGACGAGCGGCTATCATACCGCAACCACGGACTACTTTAGCAGGCAGCTCGTTGATCCAATCTGACAGGTAGAAGTTGCGGTCGAGCGTACTGCTCTCTCGGAAATTTCACACTCACACCCAAAGTCGAAGTGTTCTTATCTCGTGCGCATGAGGGAATTGTCGCTCCGCAAACGTGTAGCGCACTCTTGGACATTTGGCTTTTGCTGCCAATGTCGCAGCGTTCGTGTGTGTTGAGTTTGTGTACGTATACAGCACCAGGTATAGGCAACGAATCGATCCTCAGCGAGCGTAGCTTAATTTTTTTCCTCCGATCACATCGACGATTCTTCGGAGCTTTGCGTTGAAAAAGTTGCAAAGAAGAAAAAGAAGGGTAGGCGTTCGCGTCACGCGCGTAAAAATGCATTAAGACGCGTGCACTCGCGCATGGGCAATCACGACTCGGAAATAAATATTACTTCCGTACTTGCAAGAGTGGTGCCGGTCCAGTGTGCTGCTGCAAGCTCATGGGAGACGCACCCACACATACTCAGGTATTATGTACGAAGGGCTAGCGCTGTTAGAGCTTGCAGTTTGCGGCGAGCGCAGGACTGAAAAGGAGGAAGAGAAAGAAGAAGGAAAAGAAGGGAGTTGGTATTATTTACGAGTCGTCGTGCTATGCATGGACATTGCCTCATTCGCACCGCTCGCGAGCTCGTACGCGATTCCCATTTCTTAATATTCGCGCTGTGTGCATGCGCGCTTGCAGCGGCTAGCTCTCTCGATATGGCACCTCACGCGCGTTACAGTCTCCCTTCCTCTCTCTCCCTCTTTGAGCAAAAAAAGACGATTTTCGTATTACCTAAGTGGCCGCGCGGTAAAAGGTACGTAATACGTGTGTGCGCGCACGTGTGTCTATGTATAAAAGGGGGTACATATGTAGGACGCGGTGCTCGCTGCGTTCCCATAGTAACGATCGCAGCCGCGCGCACCTACTACTACCCCAACCGCTAACTTCATATGCTTTCACGTGTCTCCGTTATGCGAGCAATTTGCTTGCCGAGTGAGAGTCGAGAAGCTGCACACCTACGTAGCTACTTCGTGTACCTTATACGTAAAAATTCCTGGATCAGTTTGAGCAAAGTTCAAAGAAAAATCGAAAAAGCAATAGAGAAGCTCGAAGCGTTCCACGAGGTTGCAGATCTGTTCAAAGCGAACCGTACGCTAAACCGTAGTCGCATTTGTTTTGAGAGCGACGTGTATAATCGCATTCCTGGCCAAATCGATCTACCGCCCAAGAGCCAATGGCGATTTCCCGAAATAAAAGGTCCTCGCGCGCTTGCAAAACTTTCTGCTGTATATGTATACGAGCGCAGCAGCAGTAGCAGTACGTACACGTCGCTTACGTAAGGATAAACCGAGTCCAGCTTCGGCTCGCTGCTGCTGCTGCTACTAGCTGTCGTCAGGGGTAACGCAGCCTATAGCCGTATTATACAGCCGCAGACTTTTCTGGACAGCTTTTATACGAGGCCGCATATGTGTGACCGCGCGCCATCTCCTGTACTCTTGTATCCCTTGCTTTATATTCCCGACGTTGTACGCGGGTGTACACTTGGCCATCTCTTTTGCTCTCTCTCACTCTCGTCCCGAGTGTCCCCTCCTCGTCGCGTTTATGCACGTAGACGAGCTCCCATACTTCTTCGAGACACTACTGACGCGTCCACTTGTTCTCGGCTCGGGCGCGATCCTCTACTTTTCGCGCGCTCTCGCTATTTTTTACCTTCTCACCCACTGTACATCGTGCGTATATGAGCAATTCTACATAAAAAATCCTCAAAATTCGAGGCAGAAGTCGCGATAGTCATTTTTGTTACTTAACTAGTTTATTAGAAATTGATGGTTGTTCATTGAGATTCTAAAACATGAAACAACACGGGAATAATGACAATTTTTATTAGTATTTTTCCTGCAGCTATTTTTGTATTCCAGAGAACGAAAAATCGTGTTATTTCGTGAACATGACTACTCATTTCATGTTTGACCTCACCAGAATCATTTGAAACGCTTTTTTGACTCTTTTTTAGGCTTAGAGACATCATATACAGAAAAATTTGTTACGTTACGAAAAAATGGATGAAATCGCATAATTTTTGGTGAATATTAAACTTACTGAGAAAATACCTTATAAAAATGTGTTAAACAACATGAACAATTCTGTGTTAATTCAGTTATGATAGGCGTAAATAAGTCACAAAACAAAAATTACGAAATTCAGGGCGAGCCAAGCTAGCAGAAAAGTAACTAGCATTACAAAATCGAAATTAAGGGGTTCAACAATTTTTTCGTTTTGCAATTAAAAATGTGCTCCATTTAAATGAATGAATTTTTTTCTTTATTAATTTTTTTAAACTTGAACTTTGTTTTTACACAGTGTGATAACATTGGAGAAACTAATTATTATAAATGAAAGTTTTCAGTTTAGTCATCCAAACATGTACATTAAAATTTATACGCAATGCGTGAATGATGTACCTAATCAATGCGAGTATGCAATTACTTTTTAGTTTATATTTCTTGACGCTTGTATAGCACGTATTGAACGTTATACCTTTATGGAACGTGACGCTTTGACGTGTAGAAAAGACTATAGATGGAACTGAAAATATTTTTGAGCAAATATCTATGTGCGACACCACTATACTTCGCTACTTTGAGATTGTTCTCAGTCGAGAATTCCACTCCTCGTACTAAACATGTGCTACCATTATGCATCCTACTAATGTGCGCTTTGAGATTACCTTTTGATAGAAACGTCTTTCCGCATACATCACATGTATTTTAGACACTTTCATGTTTTGCCTCAATGTGGTTTCGGATTGCTTTTTAGTGTAAATGTCTTTCCGCATGTATCACATCGGTGAGTAACATTTTTGTGCACAGTCCTGGTGTGTTTTTTTTCAGAGAATTCATATCACAAAATGTTTTTTCACAAGTATCGCTTGTATGGGTGACACCATGGTGTACCGTATCGATGTGTTTTTTGAGACTACTTTTCTGAGCATATGACTTTCCACACATATTACATGGATGTGTGATACGATTGTGTATTCCGTCGATGTGAGTTTTGAGACTACTTTTTTTAGTAAATGACTTTCCGCATGTATCGCACGTGCATTTGGCACCGTTGTGCAATGCACTTATGTGGTACTTGAGGCAGTCCTTATTTTCGAATGACTTTCCGCATAAATCACATGATAGTATGACACCATCTTGCACCGATTGAATATGCTTTCTGAGATTACCTTTTTGAGTAAAAGACTTTCCACATGCATCACATGTGTGGGTGATACATTTATGTATTGTTTCGAGGTGGACTTTGAGACTGCATTTGTAGAGAAATATCTTTCCGCAAGTATCACATGTATAGGTGACACCATTGTGCTTCGCATTAATGTGAACTTTGAGATCACCCTTCGATTTGAATGTTTTTCCACACATATCGCATGGATGTGTGATATCATTGTGAAATCCGTCAATGTGAATTTTGAGATTTTTTTCTCGTGGAAATGACTTTCCGCATGTATCGCACGTGTATTTGACACCCTTGTGCAACGCATCTATGTGGGACTTGAGGTAGTCCTTACTTGCGAATGACTTTCTGCAAGTATCACATGTATAAGTGATACCATTGTGCAACGAATCAATATGCCTTCTGAGATTATCTTTTCGAGTAAATGACTTTCCACATGTATCACATGTGTGGGTGATACCTTTATGTAACGTCTCGTGATGGACTTCGAGATTGCGTTTGTGTAGGAATGTCTTTCCGCAAGTGTTACATGTATAAGTAACACCATTGTGCACCGAATCGATGTGTTTTTTGAGATAGATCTTTCTTGAATAATTTTTTCCGCATACATCACATACGTGTGTGATTTTATGATGGACCGAATCGATGTGGGATTTCAAACTACTATTCGATAATTTCTTGCGACATATTTTGCATTCTTTGTCGGTACCACTGAGCGTCGTTTCGATGTGCGTTTTGAGTCTATGTTGATCATCAAACTTTTTTTTAACACTGATTTCTTCATTCTGCTTACGAAGACCATAATCGAAATCTGTATTAAATTGCTTTGCATCGTCCGCGAATGGTTCTAGTTTTACTGCTCCCGTAGTTTCTACTTTAATTGTGTTATCAGTTTGATGACCATTTCTATCTTTTATACCCTTTAAGTAATTTTGAGGATAATCTTCAATTTTCGTAACTGCCAACAGATCCATATTGAGCTTTACGTCTTTACTTTCAAATATTATTTTCATTTCGTCAACTTCATCTTTATGGTTTTCGATAAATTTTCCAATGGCATGGGTCTGTTAAATAGAAATTAGAAAAATGTGAGAATTTTATTAAAAAATTACAAAAATGTGAGTCATGTATAATTATCAATACTTACAGAATTTTTTTGCGGAAATAATAAGAGTTGCAAGTTTTTAAGGTCGGGTTTCTCGTCAATCATTTCAGAATCACTTCCATTAAGTGTTACATCGCTAGGTTCCTCTTTTACTCTGAAACAATTCCAGTAAATTTAAGAATTAGGTTATAATATTTTTATAATGCCATTCTCATAAAATGTTAATTACCCGACACCACCATTGAACATATCATTGGATTCCATTGTGTTCACTTGTAATGTAATGTCGTTACCAATTAACCTCTCTCAAATTATTTTACACATAACACTAACTATACACGAAAAAAACTTGCGAACAATGGTGTGAGATGCTCGCTATTTTTTGAACAAGTGGATCTTCTCAAAGAGCTCTAGGTTATGGGTGACCAGCTCCATGCATAGTCCGTGTAGCGATAACACTATGAGGCGTGCACAACAAAATAGCGCGTGTCGGGCAACACACAGAGAGGTCACGAATGCGACGTGTGACGTAAACAACAGAATGAGCTCAACTCTGTGCTCTTCACCATTTTCACCGAATTTCAAATCATGTTATGTTATGTCATGTCAATTCATATTTCTTCAATTCGAATTACTTAAATTTACAATTCATGTTATGAATTTTTGAAGAAGGTAACCTAAACAAAGCTAAACCAAGTCATTATAATTATATCAATCAAGAAATGACATTATGTATCTTGTGAATATTATAGTACATTACACTGCGCTCGGGCGACAAACTGAGACTCGTGCGAGAATCACCCGCTTCGCGCACGAGTGACGTATTAGTACATTACGTAACCGAGGGTTGCATTGACACGAGTGCAAGATTGATAACCGCCTCAGTAACGTATAGTTTTTTTCATCATCGAGTGCAGGAAGTCGATTTTAAAATTTTCCCGCACGCTGCGATGAAAACTATTTTTTCATCAATGATAACAGTATAGTATATTATGTAACAAGTGAAGTATGTAAGAAGATGACTCCTGGGTGAGTTATCCTCCTCACGCACTTGTTACATAAATAACTAAAAAATAATCCTATAGAAAGAGCTAGTTTCATACAAACTAATACGTGATAGCACATTTTACTACGGTAAATGTTTTACACACTGATGATCAATCTCGCGTTTTTCTATGTTTCTGAGACCTACATAAAAAATTATCAAACGTTTATGTAGTGAAAAAAATGTTTTGATACTCAACCGCGATTGTAGCCTCGAATCGTAAGTTTTTTTTTATAGAATTGCTCATATGTATGCATTCATACCGTACATAGACTGCAAGCTCTATGCTAACGCGCAGAAAATGGAAACGGTCGCGCAATTCTTTCACCGTCGCGTCCACGTATTCACCCCGGGGAGTGATAGTCCATGCGTGCGAGGCGCGCCCAACCTGACAAACTTCTATAATCTACGCGGGATTCTGGCAATGTAACTGCTTGACGTATACGCGTGCGTTACAAAAGTTATATCACGCGTCTTATATTCGCCTACGTAGCAAAGACCGCAGCTCCGACGACTATAGCCATTCAAATCCTCGTTCTGACCCTCGACTTTTTTTGGCCGGGTTATGTATTATACAACGCACCTATCATCCTGTGGGAGCGATTTTTCCACCGACTACAATTTACAGTTTCGCATTTTATTCCTATCGCGCGCAGCGACTCGCATGTGGCACGATCACTAAGGCGATCTGTCAAAGACAGTGGGCTTATACGATTCGCTTAAATATCCAATCATATAGATCGGATGATGTTTATTCGAAAAATTTTAAAATGCTTTGAACCACAGGAAAATTCATTTCTTTGTAATGCAATAATATCGTGGCAATTTATTTACTAATGATGTGCCGATCATGGATCTCGATTTTTCCTAGCGAGTATCTAATTGTTAAACAACGAGAGAGCTTGGCTCGATATACGAATCGGTTCTTCGAGGTGAAAATGATCGAATCTTAATCGCAAATCAGCTGCGTTCGCATTAGTAACGCATCGAGTTAACGGCTACATTGCTTCTCGAATCATCTTTTTCAATGGAAATGGCAAAAAAAAAAGAAGAAAACGACAAGAAAAGAAAGGAAAGAGAAGCAAGCAAGGTAAAACTAATTGAGTCGTAAAAAGCCAAGCAAGCGTGCACCACCTAAAAGATTTTGCAATTAATAATCCGTAACCATTTTGTTTTTCCGCGAAACAATATAGTTAACTCCGCGCGCGCGCGCGGCTCGTTAGTCCCAAAGAGAACCTTTTTCTGCGCGCACAGAGAGTTGCAGTATATTTTAACAAATATCATAAAATAGAAATCGTATCTTTCATCGCGCTCGCACTTTAACTGCGATATTATTATATGGCGCGCAGGCTCGCAATATCGATCTCCTTGTACTGTTGCTGCTGTTGCTGCTGAGCGTGCACGAGAACGCAAAAGGTGCAAATATAACGAAAGCGACAAATTGCGCGAAATGGAAATAAGCAGAATCAAGCGGGATGTATATAAGCGTTGCTCGCAGAGCTCGAAAGCATCAGCAACAACAAAAAAAAGGAGCACGAGGACGATGACGAGAACAGAGAGAAGGAGGAAGATGAAACGATTTTTTGCTTTAATTGGATTACCCGAGTAACATAATTGTTTCTGTTGTAGCTGGCCGATGTTGTTGTTGTATTACCGCTGCTGCTGCCAGTGCCAGTGCCGCACGAAGGAAACAACGGCTCGCAGCGGAAAAAAGAAAAATTACCCGCGATATTCATTCTGCCGGAGTGCTGGCGCGATACATCGATTTCCCGCAGCTGCTGCCTTGATGAATCGGCGCTCTTTCTCACTCCTTGATGCTGGATGAAGCCGCACACACGAGATGCGCGCGAGAGGTAAAAACGATGATTTCACGAGCATTTAGAGAGCTATTGTGCACGAGCCGACTGTCCGGAATTATCTATGCAGAAAAACCTATTGATGCGACTCGTAAGTTCAATGCGGTAATGTATGCTTGCACGACAGTTTACCAAACTTTCTATGCACGTTCGAAAGAAAATATAAAAACGCCCAATGAATAATTACTAATGCTCTCCTGCCCGAGAGGTAGGAGGTAAGGCCGATCGTCGAACTTTCTTTCCTTGAATTTATCGAAGCCATCGAAATTTTCGCGTTGAACAGGAAAATCTATCAAACGGGAGGGGGGCCTAAACTCTAACGTCCGCGAGATACCAAGTGGGTGCAATTATATCCAACGATGAACCAGTATATAACGATCTAGAGTCGAGCTAGCTGAGCGTAGACTATCCTCGAACACGTTATAGCGCAATTGTTTTTGCCCAAGAGAGAGAGAGAGAGAGAGAGAGAGAGAGAGAAGCTCATTTGCTTGAAAGATGCAGCTATAGACTACTGGGCTCAATATTTATCGCTCGCCGCGAGATCGATGAATGCGCCACGAGACTAATTAATCTTGGCTAAAATACGATCGATTTTGCACAGCTGTCGTAACTCGAGGTTTTTCCACGCGCGCATATGCTTTAAATTTTTTTTTTCTTTTCCTTTTTTTTTGCCTCGTTTCCTCGAGGCGATCATCGCCTCATCCCGCTTTTTGCCATAGGCTAAAACTTGCGTCACGGTTATATGGGCCGCCGTCGCCGCGTTTGCAGGCGCGTGACCGTCGTGCGCCACACGTTGACGAGCAGTGCAGTCCAGTCGTTTTACAGGTGTTCTCGTACAGATATATACATAGATATATAGATACATGTGCACTACGCGCCAGTAGGTACTTTTCGCTTTTACTCTGGGGGTTTTTTTTCTTTCATTTCTTTCTTTTTTTTTCTTCGTATCTTCTTCGCTCGCCTGCGCACGCGTGAACACCCTCGTCCAATCGAACGTTTAAATCGTTTAGTCCTGGGAACTTAATCTATATACGCTTCAATGATTAGCGCCGCCACTGACCCGTATTATAGCATCGCACCGAGCAGAGGTTTCATGATCGTGTACTACGGGCGAGATACGTGTTTTCACTTTGAATTTTTATAACCATAATTAATGATAATAGATGGATAATTTAAAAAAATTAAAAAATTTATTACTTTTCCACTCTGAAAATTCAAGTAAAATACTAGAAGCTTTTTTCCAAATATCATTTGATTGTGATTTCCAAGAAATCTTGAATTTTCACCTTTCATAAAATATTCATAATTAATAAAACATTCATTTTGATTCGAAGATTTAAGTTCAAGACTTCAAAATTATCAATTGCAAATAAAGAACGTCGACGTTTATAATTGTATTTATATTGTTTTCTTATTTATAATGCTAAAACTTTTTTTTCCGTTGTGGTTTCTGAAAATTTTTCCACATACCATCTACTGGTAATTTATGAACTACAAGGTGCCTAAAAAAAAAAGAGTTCCCATACGAGAAATTTTCAACACAATTCTCAATTCTTTAAAGTTTGCGAGTATTGAATATTTAAATAATTTTTACAGTGATACTTACAATTTTAAGTTTAAAAAATGAAAAAAAATTCAATTGCATAAAATGATATAACGTACACTTTCATACTAAGGCACTTATAAACGCCAAAACCCAAAATAAAGCATCCACACGAGCTACAACAATCAAATGAAGCGTAATAATTCATGGTGGCCTAAGAGACTGCGAGGAGAAAAAAAATGCGCCAGCTGAAAAGGTGCCTACCACTTACGGCCGTCGGAGGAGAGGTATAGAATCGTCGAGCTTGCTGAAGCGCAGCTTTAGATAAACCCTTCATTCGTTTCTTTCTTCGGATAGCGCTTTTCCCTTCATCGGGTTTTCTCGTCTCGTTCCAGAATTCCTGGCACAGCTCGCATACGATGGGG